ACATTTCAATGAATGATTCTATTAATAATGGCTCGTAAATTGGTTTAGGTCATCAGGCAAGATTCAATTAAAATTCAATTCAATCAATTTCACTTGTAAATTCGATAGTATTGAATGCGGAATCTAGTACATCCGATATTCCCACCAGAACTGCATCTGGCTTTCTGTTTTATTAATCATTTACACGTGCCTCTCTATGTACGCTCGTTAATTTCTAAATTTATAAACGCGTTTGGGAAGAATTGATAACGAGATCGAAGCTCTGTTATCTATCTCGTCTCTCGTACAAAACAAGATCTCTGTAAACATTGTTAATTGTTTGGAAACCGTATAATTCCTAGCGGATGCGGAATCGTTTATCATGTTACGTAGACGTGTAAATCAAAAACTGTGAAAATTAATTTTTCGCTAATCAAAAGGCAGCAGACATCCATCAAACTGTTCTTTATTTAAACACGTACAATTCCACGTGAATGAAACTCTCTTAAGTAGTGGTTACCGGTGTAAACGGCGGGCAGAAAAGAGTTACGTCGAGGACGATATACGTATAAATTACAGTATGCGTGCATGCGAGCTATGAAAACGAACCAGCTGCCTACTGCCACGACGCGAGTCGTTCGCGAGGTCGTCGTTCTTACAGACAAGCTATAATACTATCGTCGGGTTTAGCGGTACTTCTGCTTACACGGACCCAGCACGTTCGTTAAAAGCACGTGCCTAAGCGAACTAAACGGCGGTTTGGCTCTCGATCAACATCGCTGACCATCGCCAGATATCGACATACCTCGAGTTCGTCATGGCTAATCAATGAGCCGCATGGAATTAATCCAAGTTCGACAGAGCTCGACTTTTAATTCAGCCGATTAAAAAATATAAAGTAGGAATGATTAAAGAGATGTTCACCTTTTGAAGCGGCGCAGCTTCGAATCCTCCCGCGAGTAAAATCCTTGTACGAAGCAAAGCATTATGGGTTTCTTCAGGGGTGCTTTTACCTCCCCCATGCACTTGAAATATATATTGTTGTCCTCCAACGAAATTTCACGCTAGACACTGACACACGTTTAATAATAAATTTAACGCTGGAACTTTTAGTATCCGTCGCACGTGACCGAAGGCACTAATTAAGTATTCACCGTATGTTATAGACACGATCTTTCTCGAATCTCGTTTCAAGTATTGTCCGTCAAACAAATGCATTGGAAGTCTTACGAACGCGTTTCATTATCGATGATATGGTTCTTCACATAACGGCTGCATCGACAGTCGCGTGAAAAACGAGAAACTCCCAGCTAATCAAGCATCGTTAAAGGTCGCGACCGAGCCCTTAAGGGTGTCGTTCGTACGGTTGCCAGGCCAACGATGTAAAGAGAAAACAAGAGTCTCCGTGGTGTTTCCTTGCATTTATAAGGAGAACGAGACTGGTTTATCGACTTTTTTTTAAAGTTTCGCCAGTAGATATCTTCCTCTCTTCCGATCTAGAGTCTCTTCTTCGATCCATGCAACAACACAAACCCTGATGACCGTAGCGTAGAAAATTGTCAGTGTGTCACATTTGCCACAAATTATGTTACAAACCGTTGTTACCCAACGAAAATAATTATTAGGCACACGAAGACCGAGACTTCATTGTTATTCTTCACTCGGTTTCACTGTTCAAATCTGTAAGTTTGGAGAACGATCCGTGTTCGATAAATGCGCGCAATGGATTGCAGCGTACTGCAAGCGTCGCGTCGAGCAACTTTCACGCTACCGAGTTCCCGTTCCAAAAGCTTCTCACACTGGTTCTAGGAACGATCCGCGAAGCAGCGATTCCATGTTTACAGTGAAGAACTAAAACTAGCGGCGGGATCGTTCGCCGACGATATATCGCTACGGCGTCGATGAATCGAAGACCGTCGTCTGACCCGTCGAACTCCGGTGCACTGACTCCGACGATCAAGATGGCGCATGCGAGATGGACCGTCGACGCTACGACGGCAGCATCGCGCGCGATCCTGTCCTCCTCATCTCCTCAGCAAGAGGAATTCGTCCGAAAACTAGGAAAGCACGCGACGCGAACTAGCCGACGCGGCCGAACCGTGTCTCTATCTGGCACTGGCACCGCTCCGACTCCGACCTGTGCCGTTCCTCTTTCTACGCTCGTATACCGACCGTTCCTCCGTTTGCTCGCTCGCTCGATCGCTGCTTCTCGCTCGATTCATGCGTTCTCCTCCTCCGCCTCCTTCTCCTCTCTCTTCCCTACATCGTCTTCGTACTAACCTCTCCCTCCTCCTATCCGGCCCTCTTTCCTCTTCTTCCACGCTTCCGCCTCTCACGAGGGGTTCCCAACAAATTGCCCAACCAGTTTCGAACGTGTCGAAAACCGGAATCTTATTACGCGACGCGATGCAAACGAACTTCGCGCGCAGGCCGATACTCAGTTTTAAATTAAAGACAATTAACATATCTTATCAAAGTCGAATTCAATCCCATGATACGAGTGTGGTACTGATGAAGACTGCAGCTAGAATGATCCAAAACTCTCGAACGTTATTCGTCATAACAAGGACTTCATCGATTTTCGTTAATTCTTCATATTTTGCAATCCTACATAGGGTCGGTTTGACCCTCGATGAATTATCGTAAGGGGATGAAATATGGCAATTTGTTGACGAAGTAAGAGGTGTCATAAATAAAATCGACGACTCGGGATTTTCCCAGTTACCTGGACCCAAATTGAGACCCTCCTGTAATTTGGGTCCAGGTAGCTGGGGAAATCCCGAAACATCCAGCTTTTACCTCATTTGCCCACTGTTGCTAACTATCCTAAGTCAAGCAGTTAATCGCGATGCATAATTACTCGTGCACTTTTGCATTGCTCCGATTCCCAATGAATTATTGCACAGATAACTGGCCCTTATCGACGCCGAACGAATTTAATGGTAACGAAACGGAAGCGTAGATAATAAAAGCAGTTGGAAGAACAGTTAGTCCCTTGTGATTCTGTCATATTACTAAACGAAGACATTAAGCACAGTTGATACAGATTCTTCCACTACTTATTTCGATTATTAATTAGCTAAAGATGTCAAGCAAATGTTTACGAGAAATTATCAACGTTAAAAGTTACGAGAATTAAGTTATGTAAGTACGAGATACTAATTGACTCTAAACGTGCAAAAACACAGGGCAGAACTTCCTATTTCATTTTAATCTACTTCTAAACACTGTGACATATTTTTGAATTAATCGTAAACAGAGATAACCGGTTATCTATGTTTTACGAACTCTACGGCACTTTTCATAATATTTCATTTCTGCTATTAATATATTGGATCATACGATAAACATTTTTATATGTTCTGTTTTCTAATAAAAACGCCCTCGTGAATTCAATATTTCTAAGGACACGTAGGAAACACGTAGGATTAAGTACATATAGCTGCGTCAAAGGAAGTACAATTCAAACGATTACCTTTTTATGGAGGCAACGTTATCTTTAACTGACAACGTTTAGTAAAACTTCCGCTACGTAAAAACCGCAAAAAAGGAATAGCAGCGGTGTTTGCGCCCGCGTACGTGTATAATAGGTCATCTATTTCATAGTGGCTGAGATAATATTCTGGGGTCGTCGAATACATCGTAAAGATTATGCGACTGAATAAGAAAGTAAACGCGATAACGGATGAACGTCATAACTATTGGAAAGAAATTCTCGTCCGATAATGCACTCACATGCTCCGTTGACAAAGGACAATTATCATAGTTAATGTATATGTGAAGTGGTATTAAATGAGGGATGACTGGTTACTGATAAAAAAAATACGATAATCCTCGCACCTATTGTAAAAACTTCGTGTCTCGTTATCCTTGGTATTCCGCGCATAACGAGATACTCCGAGGAAATTCACTCAATTACCATTCCGGCAAATGAAGTCTCGTTGGAACGCGTGCATGGAAACACGTGTGTACCGAACGCTCGCGCGCACGTGCCATGGGTGGTGGATCGTCGCTAGAACCGGGCACGGGAATCTATTGGTATTAAAAGAGGCAAGGAAAATCGTAAGGATTAATCCGACAGACAACGCGAGCCAACGGTGAAGCCACGTACAACAACCGACATGGATTTGCGTCACCTGGCTTCCTATCATATTTCCATCGATCGAATGTACAGAAACCGACACGTGCTCGCCGGAGAGTCAGTGAAATATTATAAATGAATCGGTTGGGAACTGAAGATCGTACGATTTTCAAAATGCCAATGCAAATTTATTCTAATAATTCCACGATTGGATGTGACGGGGAGGCTGTCTTTTAAATTCCTATATAATGAAGACACGATGTGTAATGATCGGAAGATGTGGGAGATAACGAGGGGGATCAGAGAAAAATCACAACTGGTTCGAACTGGATCAGGAAGATTAACCTTAATATCAAAAGCTTACATCGCGAAACCATAGAAGGTCTCTCCTCGAGGAAGGTAAACGGATCACTGTCACGAAAGACAAGATGTTCGTTCCATTTCCATTTATCGATGCCAGCCTTCTTCGTTCTCTTTTATTGATCTCCTTTACGATACGTCGAATAAAAATGAATTTCCCGAAGACAGTATTTTTAGACCCACGGATGCCACAGCCTTGGGTGTATAAAAGTTACTCTAAAAATAAGTGGCCAATCCTGTCGACTTATTTACTAATGGGAAATCGGTTCATCGGCGTGTAACGGTGTACGCGCAGGTACCGTTTTAAAAAGTACCCGCCTCGGAAATTCTCTTCTGCGCGAATGCCTAGCGATAAACTATAATAAGGATGCGAACATTTGTAAAAATTCTCTTTGTAACCGGGAAGAGAAATATTGCGAACCAATTAGTATATACAAAGGCAGAGTTAATTTCCTCCGCTCGGTGTGCCCGACGATCGATACGTTTAAGAGGACACGCTTGTAGCGTTCTTATAAGAGACTGTCTGTATGAATATGGAGTTGCGCTTGCCAAGAAGATGACTCAGTAACATCGGACTTACCCATTGATGACGGAAGAGGATTCATCATTATTTGATGGCCCCGACACCTGGACTTTGGGCACCTTGTAGCCGTCCACGTGCCCTTGGCTGTACCCATGCCCGGAACCGTGCTGCTGGGTATGCGTCGCCGAATATTCATCGCTGTCACTGCTCTGCGGAGGCTCGTTCCCTACTCCGCTACGAGGTCTGTAAAACAAAAGGTACTCCGAAATATTATATTGATCCAGCATCATCGCGAATCGCCTCGCTGATGTCTCTCCGTATCCGTCGCGTGTAAGAAAAACAAGCAGAAGATAGGAGACGGTTTTATATCGGTTGATTGCAATTATCTCCATGCGTCAATGATGACGCGCTAATTTTATGCAGGACTTACGCGATCCAGGTATTTATTTTTTCCGACTGACATAAGATATGGACTACAGAATTGGAATTTCCAAAAGAAAGGAGATGATTAAAAAGGATCGCACCTGCGATGAGTGTTATCGTAGCTAGCAGTCCAATAGAGGGGCGCCACTGTCCCACGTTACAGCTACAGTGTCACATACAAAAAACTGACTTAAAATTAGGTCCACTCCAGCATCAATTATTCTAGACTTGCTGTACGTCTCTCCTGTTCTCCATTGTACTCAGCCATCGAGATTCTCGAGGTAACAGTACTGGTACGTCCCGGAGACGTCTAAGGTCTCAGCATCGTTCCTGCGATTCGAAGAGTCGAAGGAAGATGAATGAAACCTTTACCGAAATACATCCATCCGGTTGTACTTTCGCGCACTCTTCCCTCCGTTTTCTCTCACGAGCGACGAACGATCGATAGAATACACTCTAGAGAGAGTATCTCCTAACACGTTACACCGATTTTCCGCATTTCAGAATTCGATTATCTCCGGCAGCAGCGGTTTCTCAGTGGATCCTCCCGATCGTCACGAGACGAGACAGCCGACGGACGCACTGTAGCCGACGTGCCACCACGTTCGCAGCGAAAATACGGCAATGCGGCGTGTCGGACCGTGATGCGATCCGCGTTCACTCGTGATCGTCCTCGGTACTCGACTTTCGCGGATGTACACCAATGGTACAGCACCATCGGGATGCATATACGCGGACGCACACTCAGCTGTTTCCCCGCGTCTGCGCCAGTCTTCCCAGCTATTGACCGAATACCACGCTGCTGCCTGTGTAACGCATACAGAGTGTTCCCGAAATCATGATACGAAATTCGTATAGTAATATCAGTCAATATCGTCAGGACGTCACGAGACGATGTCACAGAACTGTCGAGGTGATGCCATAAGATCGTCAAGATGTTACAAAATTGAGTTTACGGTTATTCGAAAGCGTAGCCGATTCGTACGATCTGTGTCACGATTTCCGCAACACCCAGTGCATGTGGTTTTCTTGCTACAAGTGCATGCATGAACGCAGACATGCACGCGGGAGACACAGGGATGGGATCAGGCTGCAGCTGCAACCATTGGCATGTGTACAGAGGGGCCACCGCGCCGGTCAGCTGTTTAAAACCCGATCCACTTCCGTTTCTTCCTATCAAGCGAAACCGCAATAATAATAATGACAAAGAAGTGTACAGGGAGCTCCGTGCGTTTGTGATGGACATTTAATTGCCTCAAAGCAACACTTCCTCATTAAGAGGAATAGACACAGTAACGTAACAAGGAACGACACAACCATGCACCATCACCGATACCACGAAATTCTTTGACAACTGGGTACATAGAATTGAATCGATAGAATTTTAGGAAATACATATAGCACTGTTATGATAACATCTAATAAGAACTTGAATCTATGATTTGCTAGTTGCGTGTCAGGCAAACGTTACACTTGCTAGCAACATTTCGTATTAAATAGTAACTTAAACTTATTGGAATGATTGTTATTCTAGGAACAAGATGCATCAGAGGAACACGCACCCTGTCCATCGGTCCATAGCGTGGCGCAACGAAATGCGCAGCAGTTCCTGTTCCCAGTGCAATAAAGCCGAGGCGATTACACCGACGGAAATCGGTGCATCTGACGCGGACGACACATCCGGGGGGATCCACCGAGCCGTCGAGATAGGCACCGGGTACGTACGCGCGATAAAACAGTGACTTACGTGGGCATTGACACGGCCGGGCAACCGAGCTGTAGAAGATTTCGGGCGAGATATTCCGGCGCAGGTGCGTCAATCGCAGGTGCGGAGTGCCTGGCGGGCCGGACCGGCTTGTTCCCGTCGACTTTTTCCGATTTCCCATAATGCAGTGACACCTGAAGCCGATGTGGATTGGCGTTGCTCGAATTCGATGATCTCGGTAATCGAAGCGAGGCTGCCCGCCGAAACGGCGATCCTAGTTCGCTGTCTGTAAACAAACCGAATTTGATTGGACACAGGAATAGGGACGGTCGTAATTTTTATGATCCACGATACCTAATCGCTTTAACAATTTCTGATAAACTTCGTGACGCATGGTTACGACGTTGTTTACAAGGATTTTAAATAATCATGAAATCACCCTGACAATTATAGTTCGACTTAAACTATAACGTATGTACACACGTGCTCCTCGAAACCACGTTTACGTGTTTAAAACAGACTTCGGCGTCGTTAGAGACGAAAAATTCGTAGTTTAAACGAAAAATGTAACTGCTACTTTTCTTAGAACGATATTACTCGTGTATCTATCACCTGAGAATCCTCGTGTTGACATCTTATTTCAACGTCCGATGTTACCAGAAGTATCGAATCTCGATGACTAACGAGCACGTAAACAGTAGGACGATGATGAACTGGGAATCGCGAACGCGATACACGTAAGACTGAATGAAACGCCAGACTGGGAGTTTAAGGAACAGGTGCGGCTAGCGAAGACGCGATTCTTGCATATTCTTGGCAACACAGTTTTAATTCGTTTAAACCCCTCTTGCATCACGAGAATTTTAGCATTAGCGCGTCTACGACTTCGGTTTCTCATCAGTTACGTGACCAAGTGGCAGACACGTTTCTGTAATCAAATCAACACTCGGCTTGTATCGCATACGTTGTTTCTCTTTCTTACCTCGCTTACGATTAATTCGCAGCGTCATTAAAATCTCATACGCCGGTAAACAGGAACGATAAAAAACGAAGAAAGAAGTCTTGAAATCAATCAATATGTTCCATTACATTTACGACGAAGTTCAAGGTCTGAGCTTACAGACTTTTTCCGAGGGACTAAAACACCTTTCTCAGGTGCAAGGGCAATCATGTTTCCCTTGGCAAGGAGCCGCGCATCTTTTTAGAGAATGCACCATTTCCCAGTCTGCGACGCGTACAGCATCCCCTCTTGATTCCGAATCACTAACACGACAGGGACAATGATCGAAGTCTTTCAAGATCTAATCGATTTAACTAGACCAAGGCACGTTCTGCTCATCCGTATGCACGGCTTCAACCAGCCATTGATTTACATACGATTGGAAATCAGTCTTAACTTGATTGACTGCGTTAGGACGTTATTTCTTTTAAGTAAGGTCCAATATCTACGCCTGACGATGGCTAGAGGAGCTCACCGAGAGACTTAAATTCAAGCTTTATGAAGTATGTCATGCCTTGTATCTAACAATACAGAGAGAATGAATCTATGCAGATTAGCCCTGTATCTGAAGCGTATCCAAAATCCAGTTGAATTCCTCTATAACCGTCGAATGCATAGAACGGCTCGTCGTATCTCGACCGATAGTCCGAGTCCCAGTTCATCTTTATGCTCGTTAAGTCCGGTCTCAATTTAGCGAGTATAAGGTACGTCCATTCTTTACGAAGAAGGTCGCGAGTTCAGAGCTGTTCCGTGACAAGGGTAAGAGATTCTCTACGTCGTCGAAGCGATATTTAATCGATCCCAACAAACGCGATTCCCCACGATAAATACTGTCCCTCGCACGAAATGGCATTCTTGTCAGTTTACGAACGAGATAAATAATTTGTTTATTCGAGCAACAAACCGCCGACCGTCTCGTGACGATTCTAATGAAATGCGGTAGGGACGGCGAACATGCCAACAGCAGATTAATTTCAACTAAAAATAGAATAGCCAGTCGGTGTTGCATTGAACGCTTTCGCAGTTATTTAAAAATCGGCTGATGTCTCGGCGCCGTTAAAATTAGATTTACATGCGTACATTATGTTACGCGTTATTAATGTGGATGCTCTAATAAAGACGTTCGGTCAAACATCGTTTCATTGTAGTTCGTTACTCTCTTATCACATGTTTGATTAAGTCGAGATGTGGACAGAGGAATGTTAATTCTTTTTGTTTGATCGTGAAATCGGGGCTTGCATCGAAAATTTCCAACGAGGTGCATCCGTATCGCAACCTATAAATACCTTCATCGATAACATCGATACAGCATGGCAATTACTTGGCCACTGGCTAGAAACAATATCTAATATCTGAACTGGCAACTTAATTCTCTTTTAAAATAATTAAGTGCATTTCAGGTCAATATAGGAAATATAATAAGCAAATGCATATTACGATGGTTAGTTGACAAAGTTATTAATGATAATTGCAATCTTAAATGGATTTCATTAATTAAGTATACCTGCTTATCTTCTATTTTATATAAAAATTCACTGTCTGCTAATATTAAATTTTGAACAACGAACGTTTCACAAGATTTGACAAATGACTCGAATAAAAGTTTTCAGCAGACTGACGTGTCAACGAAGCTATAATATTCTTACCTTCGTTTTGAGCGATCTGCATCTGGTATTGTTTAGTGAGATCATCGGGATTCCATGCTGCAGATCCAACATCGAACGCCATCAGCCTCCACCGATCCGGTAAAACGAGAGGAAAAAAAACAGAGCAAAGCTTGCCCGACCCGCCACTGCACACCTTGTCACGTTGCCTTTTCAGCGTAACCGCACCAGTGGAATTTCTGAGGATGCCTATCGACCGGCTTGTCGTGCCTCGTCTCACAACGTGCAATCGAACACGATCGATCATACGACATAATAGGCAATAGTCACGTGCAAGATTCGACAATGTGTTAAGAGTAATCCCTTGACAATACTAAGTCTAGAATAACTAATTCTCTCATCGTTCCAGGGTCGTTCGTAGACGATATCACTGTTGATCCATCGTTAAGATTGTCAGACTGCAAACTTCGATGCATTTATGAGAAAATTAAATGTACGGAAAATATACGGAATAATTGTCTTTCTATCTGCCAAATCATTTTCTCGAAAAACACTTCCCACTTCCTAGTTTCCCATTTTAATTCTAAGAGTTGAAGGGTACTGAGAGATTAAGGTCAAGACAAGCAGGACGCGGTATTAGGGCCAAGTCCGTTTTACCGCAGGAACGTGTGCGGATCGTCGACGAGTAAAGAGGCGCATCGTTAATCAACGAAAAAGTTGAATTAACAAGGTTCGACTTTATTAATAAAACAAAGGCAAGGATCTGGGAACTATGAGCGGACAGATCCGATGATCGTACCGTAACGACCATTCCCGGTATACTGACGAGGAAAAGTATACACGAAACGTTTATTTTCGGGTCGGATTCCCGTGCCAAAGGTGTACAACGTGGCAAGCGTCGCCTATGTACACGTATGTAGTACGGAAACGATTGGCGTAAACACGTCCTGCGTATTCAAAGTTTCGTGCTATTCTAATGACCCACGACACGTCTAGCTTACTGAGAACACTTCACTGAAAAACTATCATTCTCTTCGTCTCAGAATTTTATCAATCCTCCGACTGTACATATTTCTGGCTTCCCGCGAGTATCGGGGAACGTTTTGCTTTAAAGTCACGCGGCTACAGTGTCATTTTCATAAATAATGCATCCGGAAATCGAATTTGTACTTCCTCACACATCGAGCATGCTTTAAGTAAGACTAGCAAGAATTAAGAACAGAGAAGAGGTGCAATGCATCTCTGCTCAGACGAGAACACATTCATTTGTCAAATGGAAAGAGCACCCACGCATCATTCACAGTCTTTCCTCGAAAAAAGACAAGCAAGACGAAATGATCGTAATTAAAAAAAAACATATACGACTAACACTTATAATGTTAAATTTTGGGTCCGCGAAATGATAAGAGGATCTCGAAATGAATATGTACAGGAAATGGTTAGAGACTTTCTGGTTTGCGAATGATGAAGACATTCATGAGGATGTGACATTTATTTGCCTCGCGTTTATCACTTCAAGGACTCCCTACGACAAGATCCATTAGGAAGAGCGAGGTGTCCATGGTAGCAGCGATTAATCGATTTACCAAAGTCCCAGGGATTCGTTACGTATTAGCAGAAGCTCTCAGTACATTTTCAATCGGTATCAAACAGCCTCGCATATGCCTGATAAGGGAATCGCTGGGACCGTACATTAACGCCACCGATAAGAACCCTAGCTCAGCCCTCGGATCCGCGAGAACGATCGCATCCTTCGCCTTTGATTATCGCGACAGACATCGCATCCAATTATTGAAAATTTCCCTTAAACGATACACGGTAAACGTCTCAAAAATAAGTATCGATACTCACTCCATTTTTCATCTATGTTGTACATTACGTCTTACGTTATTGTAAACGATACTATATTATCATTTACACGCGGAGAACTCGCCGCAAGTAGGTCAGACGAGAGAGCACTATCGAGATACAATTCATGGATAAAATACAGTAATGCTCCGCTGCAACCTATTCATTTTTATTTCGATCGCTATCGTATTTTCACGCTCGCCGCAGCGTCGATGAACGGAGGGGAGAGAAGTGTGTCGTTTAACGCGTTTATAAATTGACCCCTCGCCGTGGAACGTAGAAATAACGTCTGCATGAAATACGGAATAAAGAGTTATTGCGTGAGTGTTTCTTTTTTTTATACTGGCATCGTTTAGTGCCTAGTACGAAGAGGATTACATGTCTTATTGCGCATACGTGATCGTGGGACTGCGAGGTACGCGGTTTAACGAGATCACGATTTAATCTCGAGGCCGATGGTCCGCGCGAACTTACAGAACCTTTCGACCAGCATCTTCTCGTGGTGGTCTCGTTTAACGGCAAGGTCGGCGATCTTCCCGGTGCGCGCGCGGAACGCCTCCACGAGAAGATCGTGCGACAAGCTGTTCAACGACGTTTTTTGAGCGTCCTTACTCTCGCCGCGCTCGTCACCGTGGCAGGAATACTTGAGCGGCACGAAACGCGCGAGGAGATACGCGAGGAATCTCCGGTGACACCAAAGAGCCTCGTGATCGTTGTACATGCAAATAGCGCTGTCGCTCGCCCGGCATTCCTCCAGCCAGTATGACAAAGCGCGGAAAAACGCGTGCTCTCTCGTCCTGGAGCAAACGATCGCCCCGGATTCCGCGGTAGTCGCGTCGAACAGCCTCTGCAACCGATGAGTCTCCCTCGTATCACTGACGTTCGATTTAATATAAGCAAACAGTTCGTCTCGCCACTGTTCACCAAGGTCCGTGCATTTTATAAACGGCTCGCCCGGCAGCTCCTTCGAGTCGAACATGTATTTGTTCAATAGGAACTGCCGGTAGGAGAGCCCGCTGTAATCGGACACGTGTCGCTGACACCAGGCGAGCGAATTCTTCCATTCCGCATCCATGGTAGGATACGTGAATCCCCGCGACTCGCGCAAAGTCATTATGTGACGCCTGTGACTCCACGCGTGATAGTTGCTCGCGTATCTGTCCGCGCACGTGGTCGCTATCTCCAGTTCCGTGGAGAGCGGCGATTCAGCTAGCTCGGGGTCGTAATTACTGTCCTTAGCATTAAGAATGTACGACAACAGCCACCGTCGATAGGCGAACACCTCGAAACACTTCGGCTTATGGTAAAGCACCAGCCGAGTGAAGAAGAATTCATCGGAGGGCTCCAACTTGTGGCTCCTGACCAGCTCGCGTCGCATGTTCCAGAACGTCGTTACGTCCGGGTTCAACAGCAACGCGCCCACCAACCATTTCGCTATTGTACCAGGCTCCTCGCGTCTGTGTTTGTTTTGGCGATGCTCGAGGAGTCGACGATGGACGTAACAGTACAGCGGCTGCACGCACCACGACGCCAGGCCGAGGCTGTCCCCCTGATGAAACACCGGCGACTTGTTCTCATTATCCTCCGCCGGGACGATTTCGAAACTTTTTCTGAAATCGTCAAATCGAATTTTAATTATCTGAGTCGCATTGGTGGAGGCGCGCTAAATCCGCATGTGTCTTTCTCCGAACGGATGGGAAAATAAAAAAAACACGAGTATGTCTGATTTGCATACGCTTATCACTAGTATGATTGTTCTATTTGAATTATTAATGGATAGTAATGTTACGAATTATATAACAAAAACTAATGTTGAGATTAACTTATACTAGCTTTTGTATTATAACGTTAATATGTGTTTTGCATCCGATGTATCTAATTTTAGCTTGATAATACAACGACATCGCTTATTATATGGATATAGTACAGCATACAATCATCGTAAAATCACACTGGCAAGAATGCGTGTATGTGCGTACGCTCGCTATTTGATAGTATATACATGTGCGTCTAAAAGGGAATAAAGGGAGACGCCTGGTAGTCGTCATTAACGTTTAATAATCGCAATGACGCTGGTATCCCATAGAAAATATCGGATTGTAACGTTACTGATACTGTATTTATTATGCGAACCTTTTACGAAGCGTCGCACGTATTCATGCCTCATTAAAGCGTACGACGGCGATGTTATGGTTTAATTCGAGTGAAATTAAAACACGCTGTGACCCGGAGGTTTCATCATTTAAACGAGAGAGATGCCGATGCACCAAATCGGACAATTTCGAGATACATTTCACAGATATTTTTAAAGACTCCGCCCTCGTAATCTACTGTCTAAGAAAACACTCACAGAGACGGATTCTTCTTCACCACGTTTTCGATGTCGGATAGAATTTTCTCAGCAGCCGGGAATATATCGTCTTGCATTTTAATCTCGTCACTGCGATTCGTTACATGTCTCGGTAAATCAGGTATAAACCGATAATACACAATTAACCCTTCTGTTTCTCTCTCACTGCACCTTTCAATGCAGACACGATGTAGCGTTTTTCTGTGAGGACCGTAGGGGGATATTACGCGAAGTTGACCGCAGGTGTCGGAATCGTTGGCGCGAAAATGATTACCTCCGAATCGCGAGTGCAAGCTTTGATTAAAGAACGAGATCAATTTAATATCACTGGTTCCGTTCTCCTAACTGAAAAGTGAAGAACGAATTCTACGTGTAGAACTTATTACTTATATTCTTATAACAACACAGCCACATCTTTTTATAATTTAAACACTGTATGTGGCTGTAATATCGCTAGCGCCTTCTACACATGTTAAATCCTCGGTGAGACTAATGAAAAGTTCCCTAAAACATGAGGTGCGGCCATAGCATCTGATAGCGTTTGCTTCCTAGAACACCCGACGGATGGCGTATGCATGCAGGGCATGAAATTTATTGCGCAAAAAGGTGCAGCTTTTGTTCAGCTTCTTCAGCTTCACGGGCCTCACGGCTCTCTCTCACTTTGAGGGCCCATTCTAGCACCTGATTCCGTCAAATGTGTAAACATTATGCACGGTAATGCCTGGTGATAATGCCGTCGCGTGATGTTCTAAGCTGTGACGTCATTAGCGCAGGGCTTTTAGTCGCCTAATGCTAAAAAATCCCACGATGTTGATATCACAGCCACACCTGTAACCGAGTTTTTGCAGCGTTTCCTGATTTCTAGCCTTTCCAATTTTCTATATTTTTACTACTTTTTTATAATAATGGAGGAAGCACAGTTGCAGCCTTGCATCAAGGTGCAACTCGGAAAACATGAACTGGAAAGTATCGTTGACAAAGCTAAAGACTGGGCTCTTATGCACGGTAATTTATATTGTTAAGTAAAATTTTATGTCTCCATATTTTCAAAGATTATAAACGTAATCCTTCTTTTAAGGTATTGGTATACGGTCGAAGGTAGCGTTTAATAAAAATCAGCTTCAAGTATTACCATTTACTCTGCTGCCTTCAAGCTTTCCTAAGGAGAACTTCCAAAGAGCTAAAAGTATTCAGACGTTATTAAACAAACTGATGCACAAGGTAGCACATAATCATGATTTCCTTCAGAAGAGTTTAAAAAGGTATGCAAAAATAAGAACGAACTCTTCATTCACATGAATTCATTATAAATTATTCTCACTGTTTAGCACAGTTAATGCAGACCCATTTACAGCAAGATTATTCCATATTTATGAAACTGTATATAAAGAAGGATTTGCTCAAGTAAGATTTTAGTACGATCAGTCGATTTAATTGGTAGATATGTACATTCGCTAAATATTTCTTTCTTCCAGAGCCTCAGTCTTGGCTTATTCAGATCAGATTACATGCTACATGAAAATCAAATAAAACAAGTGGAATTTAATACCATTGCGAGTAGTTTTGGAGGAATAGTTACCGTCGCTACTCAATGGCACAAGTAAGGTTTTATTACCAAGTCTATTACGACGTACACATATTGCATCTTTTCAGATATATTCTGCCGCAGTTGGGCTACGAAGATCAATTAAAAAACGTAAGTATTCTATCTCCACAGATATCGTCAAATGATCTATCGATCATTTTTAGATTCCAGATAATAATCCAATCAATGGACTTTCCAAAGGATTAACACGTGCATGGGAAATGTACGATGCTGAAAAGTAAGTAATAGGCGTAGCAATAAAAACTGAACACGTTACACGATTTTATTCTATTTTAGGGCTGTAATATTGTTCATCGTTGAAAGTATTACTTATAATATATGCGATCAGAGGTTCCACGAATTTGAAATACATAAAATTAATCCGAAGATCAGGGTGATCAGGAGGAATTTATCGAATCTGGTGTCCGAAGCGAAACTGGGTCCAAACAAAGAATTAATGGTGTACGTTGTGAATTATCAATTAATGACAATTTTGAGATAAGAAGTTATCAAACAATTTTTAGTGGCGATTCGGAGGTGGCTGTAGTCTATTTCCGGTCCGGCTATGAAGTCAACGCTTATCCTACTGAACGAGAATGGGAAGTTCGATTGTTGATCGAACGTTCTCGCGCGATAAAATGTCCGTCGATACAATATCATTTAGCCGGCACTAAAAAGGTACGTCAGAAGAGGGTAATGAAAATAATATGATAAATAACGTTCCATTCAGGTGCAACAGTCTCTGGCTTATCCTGGCGCGCTGAACGTATTCGTGAAAGACGAGAGCGCGAGGAAACAGATACAAGAAGTATTTACTGGACTTTACTCTTTAGAATTTGTAAGCATCAAAAGAGTTCTCTACTTCTTCGCTGTTCGCGTGTAACACGTAAAAAACGTTTGTTCGCAGAACGACGAGGCGGAAGCAATAATTGATAAGGCTATCGCCGAGCCAGGGAAGTATGTATTGAAACCGCAGAGAGAAGGAGGGGGGAACAACGTTTACGGCGAAGATGTAAAGGTGCAATTGGAATCGATGAGAAAGACGGAAGAAAGATGTGGCTGGATACTCATGGATCGTTTGTATCCGCCCGCACAGAGTAATTACGTAGTACGCGCTCGTAACGAGCCGTTCGAGGACAATCATTTAAATTTCTCTAATGTCGTATCGGAGCTCGGCGTTTACGGCGTTGTTATCGGGTAAGTAGACCGTTTTCCGGTAGCCGATAGCTTGTTTTCCTTCTTTACCAATCGGGTCATTCAATTATCATTCACAGAGATTGTGATATCATTGAATATAACGAGGAAGTAGGACACATTTTGAGAACGAAATCGCACGACGAAGACGAAGGAGGAATAGCTGCTGGAATCGGTGCCATCGATACTCCTTATCTTATCGATTAATAAATTACTTAAACAATTATACGTGCGAGCCAAAATGGTTCTTACTTGCGCGCGCTGGTTCCGGCAATCGACCGACAGCCTCGCTAATACTCGAATGTCTGCAGAAAGTGCGCAGAAGTTGTGATACTGTAATTATTCTGTGGTACCTGTGGCGATATAGGCGAAGCTTAAACACCCGTCACTTCATGATAAATAAAGAATATTCAAATTAAAATTGTTTCAATGATCAATTCTTATCCCATTCCCGACGCTGCCACCCCTCGGTGAAACGAAGGGACGCTCGGTCCAGACGTAACTGAAATGCGGTTCGGAAGAGAGAACGGGGAATCGAAGTTTGTTAATATAATTTATTGTATATCGCGATTTCAACATGGAAAAGTACAAATATTGCAATATAGGGCCTGCGATCTCTCCTCGGGTAGGAGGGAGGGAGGGAGGGAGGTTGGGAAGCGAGGAGGGCATGATTTTGCAGAAAGGAGAGGCAACGCACGTTCAGAAGATCTTCCGGAATTTGTTTTACTTTTAGTTCGAACTTGCCTATCTACCGAAACCGAGGATAACGAGTTATACGAACGCGGGTCTTACGCGTTCCTCCTTTTTTTCGTTTGTTTGACGGTAAAGAAAAGCCAACGGATCGACGAGTGATCCAGCGCTTTTGAGAAAAAGGAAGATTCCCTCCTCTCCATGGCCCCCGCATATATTTAATACTCATTTTGTGTTTTTTTAAATGTTTTTTTTTGTTTCTTTTTTAGTTCTACCATCAGTACGTACGGGCGCGTCGCGACTACGAAACGTGGAATCTTGTAGTGAAACGGGACGCACGCGTGCGTGTCGTGACAGTTATTACTCTCGTTTTCTTTCCTCTTATCATCGTCGCTATCATTTTCACTTTCGGTTCCTTAACTAAACAGGTGACTTCCGGCAACCGTGACCGCCCGGGCTCGACCGATTTTTCCACTCGGTCCGTCGGCCCCAGGAACGACCAGCCCTCAGAAAGTGTCTTGTTTCGCAAAATTTCCAACGTGACGACGTCACTTTCTGATCGACGGGTTCTTTTTGGGCGGATTGACACTTCGATTAATTATTATTTCAGCTCTGCCAAGGCGATTCGCGAGTCGCCGAAGTGCTCGATTATTATATTCAATTGGAATCTGCTCTCTGGAGATCGGCCGGTCGTTCCTCGCGCGCCACCGACGAACCGTCGATTAAGAACATTCGTATTCAACGTGAAATATTTCAGAGCACCCTTAAGTTTCTATCTCACTAACACTCGTCTTAAGTTTAAAATATGTAAATAACTTCGTCCGAGATCATCATCACAATTCGTCAAATCCGGATCTTGATCTCGATCGGCGAGCCCGGTCACGGCTGCAATCAAAGTGCCTTCGAGTCATTCTCGCCCTTTCTCTCTCTCTCTCTCTCTCTCTCTCTCTCTCTCTCTCCCCCTATCTCTCATTATACATACATATTTTGAATCGTTTCTTCTTTTTCTTCTATTTTTCTTTGGAACATATATTGTGTCTACCGTTGTTGCCTTATCCATCGCCGGTTGCAAAGACTGCGATCGTAATCTATTTTTCGCCTAATCGATCGCGATACGATAACCGAAATTTCGTTATTATTATTACCGTCTCGCATCTCTTCTTATGACTTATCCCATTCACCCTTTCTTTCCTCTCATTTACTTCCATTCTCACTCTCTCTCGCTCTCTCTTTCTCTCTATACACCCCACGTATTCTGCCAGTTTCTCTTTCCCTCTTCGCCTTCGAAATTTTCATAGCATTTTTTTTTTTCTTTTATGCAACACATAATGCGACTAGGTAGTACAGGTTAATTAATAATTAATATCGTTAGTTATATAATAATAACGTATGACTAGACAATGCAAGATAATTATGTAAATAGTAATAATCATGGATCGCAATTTATAACAATTGTGGCGGCGCGCACGTGTTCTCTATAAATTTCTTCTTCTTCTTCGTCTTCTTCTTATTTTATAATTGAAATCACTTCCGTGTACGTTGTGTGCCTTCGTGTGCGTGAACGGTCTCTTTCGTGTGGACAAATAATATGTACTCGTGTGGCTCGATGGTACGATTATAAGGTACGAGGAGTCCTACTCGACGTGTCATCTATTTTCCCGTATCTTTGAAAATGTTCGAGTCTACGTGTCTGCGATCAAGTCGCCTCGTGTGAGACATAGAAAAAGTATATCTTCGTGTAGATATTTAGGGAAGAACGACGTGACGACCTCGTCGTTGCATCCCTTTAGCAACGGATTCGTGTCCTCACTGTTTGCGTCCCTTATTTGTTACACGGATGACCCGAAAAATACGGAGGCTCGGTAGCCGACGGATCGGCTTCCCTTACAACTCCCCGATTGAGAATGAATGTCCCCTTTTAAATCCGGCCAGTTGCAAGTTTCCCGATTCGAAATAAATCTGATTTGGATAAACGACCCGCGTGCGCGCGTACACGCAATCAAAAGACCGATACTATAATATATACGATACGTATACGTGTTAATAGTTAGAACACATAAGTAAAATCGAATAAGGGTATGCACATACAATTAAACTACTTACGCAACACCGATCTGTAAACACGTATGTATGTATGTATGTATGGGATATCGAAAGAACGCAATTAATAACGTTTATTCACCGCGTCGTTTTAAATTAATTATTAGGTATACGCTACAAGGTTCGACTACGATTCGAGGCTCGAGACTATTAAAGACGGATATTCGAGTATGCAATGAGTAGATGTGTACATTATATAAACGTGTAACCGTGTCTTAAACAGTGTCTCGTGTGTCTCTGTGTATGTGTGTCGATGCGTATGTAGAGGAAGCTTCTCTGCTCTGTACTAAATCGGTATTTCGATTAACCTCTTAAAAAGCCCGCATGTGTAGATTTAATGCGTAACGCTCGTAAAGTTCCCATGTGAGAAAATGGAACACCGGAGGAGCCGCTGTCCCTCGAAATAAAACATACTTCATTTCATTTCTCTGCTCCCCCGGCCCATTCTCATACGCCTATAGAGAAATTTGTAATGTAATATAATATAATATAATGTAATATAATATAATATAATATAATATAATATAATATAATATAATATAATGTAATATAATGTGTAATATAATATAATGTAATATAATGTATATATAGATACAGCTAATCTCCAATGGAAATTCCTATCGGTAAATAATACGCGTAATTAATAATCATGATAAGTATACGGTAACCATGACGAATGACGATAATTAAATAGAGATTATATATACATACCTATATACGTTTAGATTTAATCGCGTCTAAGACGAAAATGAAACCGTGTCCCGGCTCTGACAGATATTCGAGAGATTTGAGAAACATTCGAAGAAAGTATGCGAAGATACTTGGCAAACAAATTCCCGATTGAACTTCCTACTCTTTAAGAGGTTAAAGCTACTGCACAATCTTTCCCTACGAGAGCGATCGATCGTTGGATCAATGGTGGTTACACGGTATCCTTCGCGGTGACGTCAGAGCGTCTCGTAAATAAATTTCAATCGGGGCATAGTGTATAGACGACGAGATCGGAGGTGGTTGTTACGAAAGTACGGCATTTGCCAAGGGGAAAGTACAATCGTCACGCAGAAGCTCTAAAAGGAACCCTCTGATCGGCATTCGTTCTCCCTAGTTGCTCCTCCCCTCCTCCTCGGTTCCGACCTCCAAGCCACCGATCGAGATTCAATTATGTTTACTACCGATCGAAACGGTAGACTTCTAAACAGAAGGAGGAAGAAGCTCGGATGATTGATCGATTGCGTGGACGTTAGGCCTGTGCGCGACCGACAGTAATTAAGTCTCGTCCGTAATCAAACGCAGGCCAAACTTTTTACAGAGGATTCGTACTACGTTCCTGCTGGGGAAAATATACTCCTTCCTTATTCTCGTTTCATTTGTTTCCTAAAAACACCGACCGACTAGACACTAGCACTAGACGATCGAGCAGTAAGTAGTATGAGTCCGTACGCGGTCAGACGCGCGACCGAAGTCGTTAGCAAAATGGACTTCTTTCACTTCTTAGAAGTTTCTTCTATTCGACACGAAGGTCGTTCGATCGATGCGTTCTCTACCCATTTTCCCATCGCCGTTTCCTGTCACTCGACCCAACTTATTGTAAGCCCTCGATCGACAGTAGCAAGGCCAGCGTTTCCGGCCGGCCGCGATAGGAGTTCGACACGTACAGAGACCAGCGATCGAAACGACGCTCGAATCTTTCAAGCAATCTTTTCACAGATCAGTCTTACTTTGTCTCTACACCCACGAGTTCCCTTCGCCTAAACATTCGTTTAATTATAAACAATCGTTATACTCTCCCTTCGATCGCGATTCTTCTTACAGATCGCAGATAATCGTCGAATTTATTTTTCGTTCCTCCCCTCACAGTTCTTCATCTCGACGATACTTGCTAAATTTCTTATATTTACGCGTTCATGAATCACTCACACGATTTCACCAGCAGTCGACCCACGCGACATGTACGATGTTCCACCATTCATTTTTCGAACGAACGTTCCCAGAGCCTCAACAAGCATGTGCGTGAAATCGTGAATACTGGAAGCGTCGGAAACACTTGGCCGAGAATCATCGAAATTTAATCCTTAAGTTCTTCCTCGATCGTTCGACCGTTAAGTAGCAGTTAATAGAATGGTCAACGAGAATAGCACCGTAGTTGCGTCAAAGCACGGGGTTTATTCGACTGTTCCCTCCCCATTTTTTTGTCCCGGTTATTAAAAATACACGTTGTTAAGGGTTAAATTTCACGTGGAACCATTCAAAAATTCTCGCCCATTCAGTCGCTTGTACTTACATACGCGCGTGATCGACTCTCGCTCGCATCTCATGCGTTTGCTCATCACACGCTTCTCCGTATCCGACCAATTAATCTCTCGCTATTAAACAGCGGCTCTTAACATCCGGTGAATATCACTATTAATACCGTTGTAAAATCCGTCTTAAAATACATTAATCTATTACACGTAATGCGCGTCCCCGTCTTCCCTCTCCGTTTCTGATTAAATTCTGTCCTCCGAGTCGATTGCATTTACATCTCCGAATTGCACGCCTGGCAAACCCTGCGTTTGGCGCTAGAACGCACCGATTCCGAATTCATTGATCCAATTCTAAATCTTCTAATAGAAGAAACACCGGCGGTGATCG